GTGGTGATGGTGGAAATGATGATGACAGTGGTGATGATGAGGGTCATCGTGGTGATGGTGGTGGTGATGGTGGTGATGGTGATGATGGTGTGATGATGATGACAGTGGTGATGAGGGTGGTGATGATGATGGTTATGATGATGGTGATGATGAGGGTGATGATGTTGGTCATGGTGGTGATGACGGTGGTGATGATGATGACAGTGGTGATGATGGTGGTGATGACGGTGATGACAGTGGTGATGATGAGGGTGATGATGGTGGTGATGATGATGGTTATGATGATGGTGATGATGAGGGTGATGATGTTGGTCATGGTGGTGATGACAGTGGTGATGATGGTGGTGATGACGGTGATGACAGTGGTGATGATGATGATGGTGGTGATGACGGTGTGACAGTGGGCATGATGATGGTGATGGTGATGATGATGGTGATGGTGATGATGATGGTGATGACGGTGGTGATGATGGTGGTGATGATGGTGGTGGAGGGGGTGGCGGTGGCCATGGAGGAAGTGGTGTGACAACGATTACACAACTTGCAAGTGGGACACTCAGAATTCAGAGCCTGGACTGTGGGCCATGGGCGTCACTTGAGTGCCTCTTGCTGAGGGTGGCGTGGGGGAACACAGGGGGCACGTGAGCCTGCAGGCCTGCCTGGGACGGCCCTCCAGGATACCACCTCCCGCCTCCCCAGGCTCACTCTCATCTTGCCAGGGGAGACGCCTAGGTCCTGTGGGCTCCTGACGTGGCATTTTACGTTTATTTAGAAAAATGCGGCGCCTGCCCAGTTCGGCGAACGTGGCTTCCTCGTGCGGTGCTGAGGCTGTAAATGGAGGGCCCATTTCCACTTGGCTGCCCCCGGCAGGGGCTGGGGTAGCAGGAGATGGACGGCTCCCCAAGCTGCCCCTGCCCATGGAAGTGGGTGGTAGGCGGTAAGTTGCTGGGTGACGGGCCGGCTCGGATAGGTCCTGGGGCCGAGCTGGGCTGGGAGGAGGGCCTGGGAGGGAGGGCAGCGTGTGGGAGTCCTGACTCTGCAGGGGAGGGGAGAGGCCAGTGTCTAGGGGTGTCTCAACTCCTCCCCGAGGCTCCCCAGTCTCTGCCCCAACCTGGTGTGAGGGAGCCAAGCCCCCAAGCCCCACCTGTTGGGGGTACACAGGGCCCTGGGGACAGCCTGGTTCTGGGATGGGCGGTGCCGTCAGGGCGGAGAGCGCGGAGCAGCCCCCAGTCGGTCTCGGTGTCCCCCACCCTCTCCAGGAGGAGGGGTGTTTGGGGCCGTTACCGGAGTGGACCTGCGGGCCTGCGGACGCCTGCTGGGGGCTGGGCCGGGGGTCTGTGGAAAGGCCCCCGTTTCTCAGCGCAGGGCCCTGAAACCTCACCCCGACCTCCGGGCTGGGGCTCAGACCTCTGCCCCCAGAGGCCGCATCCGGGCCTCCCCGCCAGCTCTCCTCTCTGCCCTGTGGTTTGCCCCGCAGCCCTAGAGGCAGTGCACACTCGGAGGGCCTGGCCTCCTTCTGGGTGGACAAGGACAGGGCCGACAAAGACCACCGTCTGCAGGAGGGCTGAGGGGCCGGGCCAGTGGGCACCAGGCCTGGATTCAGAGACCAGACAGAGGGAGAGAACGAGGGAGGGGTGGTGCGAGAGCACCAGGCTGGGACCCAGGCAGGAGGGGAGCAGAGGGCAGGGGCGGCCGTGGGTCTGGGCGAGTGGGCCGTGGCGCGGAGGGCCCTGGAGCCCACCCCTGCCTCCGCCCGAAACCTGAGGGGTCCCAGAGGCTCCTCACCTCCAGCTGAGGGCCAAGGGCGGCACCTCCAGGGAGGACACCTGTCCATAGGGCAGTCATGGGCCGGCGCCAGCACGGGGCGGGGCGAGCCTGCTTCCAGAGCTGGTGGGCAGCGCCGACCCCCAGGACGGCTGGCTCTACTCTTCCTCGCTCTGAGGCCCAACCCGGCCTAAGCCTGCAGCCCCCCAGCCCTGCTGCCGGGCCTTCTCTTAGGGGCCCGTCCCCTGACGTGATGCCCCGCCCCCGCCCCCGCCTGGGGGCCTGACGCCCAGTCTGCGTGGCCAGGGAGGAGTGAGGGTGTGTTTAGAAGAATCCATGAAGTGGGGTGCGGGCGGGGACACCCATGGCAGTCTGGGCTGTGCACCCAGCTCCTCGGCCATCTCAGGCGATTCCTGACTCCTGGGACGTCACAGTCTTAACAGCCGGCTGGAGCTCAGCCAGGGGAGGGAGGCGGGGACAGGAGGAGGCGGGCGCTGTGCCGTGCCGGGATGGGGGAAGGAGCCTAGTGGTCTGTGCGGGCCTCCGGGGTCTGCACTGGCTTGTGGGGATCAGACAGGCACCCCCAAACCAGGAAGAGGCACAGTGCCAGCACGTGGTAGGGCAGGCGAATGTCTGAGACGTCATCACCCTCCCTGGGCTCCCCCAGCCACCCGGTATGGCGGCCCCCCCACCCTAGGGAGCGCTTCCAGAGGTTGCTGCCACCCCCTGGTCAGGCAGCTGCCTGGACACGGATCTTAGGACCAAGGATGCAGAAGAGGGGACATGGGTTGGGAACAAGGCATGCGGGTCAGGGGTCCTGCTGACCCGCCCCCCACCCTGAACCTCCGAGGGGCGACCCTCCCCCATCAGCTGAAGAAACTGAGGCTCAGAGGGTGTCCGGAGTAGCCCGACCCTGGACTTTGACAGTGGCCGATGGCAGCGGACAGTCAGACAGGATCGGCCTCAGGGCCAGGAGTCTCGGTCATTTGCTCACCAGCTGGTTCCCCAAGCACATTTCCCACCCTCTCTGCACCTCAACTTCCTCATCTGTAAAGTGGCTGACAAAGATGGTTTGCCCAGCCTGTTCCAAGGCACAGGGAAATGCTCGGCACACAGTGGGGCCCCTTCTCCCGCACGCCTTCTGTGTCGATCCTCTTTCCAGAGAGACCCCAGAACCAAGAAGGTGACCCTGGCAGGTGGGACCGGCTGCATAACTGGCGGGGTCCGTGGCAGAACAGAAGCACAGGCCCTTCGTTCAGTTAGTAAGAACTACGCGGCAGCAACGGCAGAGCACAGAGCCGGAGGGAGCGGACAGTGCCCCAGGGACAGATGCCCATCGAGGCACCCTGTGGGGCAGCCCGGGGATATGTCGAGCTGAGACCTGGGGCCAGGAGGCTGAGGCCCGGCAGACCCTGGGCCCCTGAGGGCCAAAGATCATCGTGGCCCATGCCTGGCATCTGAGAGGCCGACAGCAGACAGGGAGGTGCCCACCTTCGGGGGGGGGCGGGGGGAGTGGGGGAAGATGCCAGCCTGGGGTCGCCCAGGAGCCTGCAGCTGGGCAGGGCACCCGGGTTGGCGGCTGTGGGATCAGGAGCCCAGGAGGGAGCCCTCAGCTGGACCAGGTGGCCTGTGGACGAGACGGCCAGGTGGGGCAGGCAGCTCGAAGGGCTGGGGGCTCAGGCCCCAGCCCCCAGGGCGGGGAGGGAGAGGCAGCAGAGGGCATGGAGGAGGGACCACGGGCCAGGGAGGAGCTGGGACAGAGCTCGTCTTCGCTGCCGCAGCCTGCTGCCTGCACCTGCGTGGGGAAGCTCCTCGCGCCGTCACACGAGCTATTCTCAGCCTCTCTCCTTTTATGGCTCCGGAAGTGAGCGGTGGAGGCTGGCGCACTGTGCTCGCTCTGAGATGGAAATGGAAACACAGAGAACAGAAGGACAGCAGCCACCACCCCCTCCCTGGCACGGGCATCCTCAACACCCAGCTCCGGGGGCGTCCAGCCGAGCCAGCTGGCAGAGAACCACTCATCCTGGCTGAGGGGCCAGCAACCCTTGGGGTTCCTGCTGCACGACCTGGGCCCGCCTGGGCGTCCAGGGAGGCGGTGGCGGCTGCATGCAGCCTGGCTGGAGCCCAGTGGGGTGGAGAGGAGGGGGCGGCCGCCCAGCTCCAGCCCCCCAGGCGAGCTGCCGAGCCCTCACGCGGCCGGGCCACCGGCGGACACTGGGGCCGTGGCTCTCCCCTCATCCCTGACCCTTTAAAGAGCCCTCAAGCCACCCCATCGGCCTCCCCTGCACCCGCGTCGCCCCGCTCACCCTCAGGCTGTCCCTGCCTGGCAGGGCCCCTCTGGGCTGCTGGCACACTTGGGGTATGGGGCACCTCTGGCCGGACGGAGACTCTTCAGGGTAGGAAGCAGGGGTCTGTCTACTCCATGTGCCCAGAGCAAGCTCAGGACCTGGCAGTCAGCGAGCAGGAGATCAGGAGGAACCCGAGCACACACACTCTGACACACACACACGCGCTCTCAAACTCTCACACTCACAACACACTCATAAACTGGCACACGCAGGAAGACGCCGTGCTCAGGGGCTCCAAGGGGGGCACGTAAGAGGGAGGACAAGGCTCACAGAAGACGGGGTTAACACCACATTGGGAGGCTGGGAAGCCTTCCTGGAGGTGGTGACCCTGGCTCAGAGGTAGATCCCACGTAAGCCGTGCTGAGCTTCTATGCTTAGGTTTCAAAACTGGGCAGGCCTTTGTGAGCTAAACAAGGGGCAGTGGGCAGCAGGCTGGCCGGGGCATTCCTGTGGCGGGAATGGTGCACTCAGAGGCCCGCCCTTCCCTCCTCACCACCCACCACCGCCATCCACCCCCGTTGTGTGATGAGGATGGCGGGAACAGAGGGGTTAAGTGATTTGCAGGAGGTGACACAGCAAATGCCTTGGGGAGAAGTGGGGGCGGTGGGGGGAAGGGCAGGTGCCTGACTCCCGTCCCGGCTCTGTGGACATGCAGACCTGGCAGGGCCCCTGCCGAGGGGACGTTTAGCTCCAGATGCCGTGTGGGCGACCGCCCGAGAGCGGCACGCACCGAGGTGTCCTCGGCCTGTGTCCTGTGTCCTGTGTCCCGTGTCCCCTGTCCTGCGTCCTGTGTCCTGTGTCCTGTGTCCCCTGTCCTGCGTCCTGTGTCCTGTGTCCTGTGTCCCCTGTCCCGTGTTCCTGCCTCTCACACCTGCCTCCTGGCTCCACCCCGAGCCCCCGCCGGCAGAGCCACATGGCCTCCTCCCCTCGTCTCACCTCGCTGATGCCCCAGCAGGCACCCTGGAAGCTGCAGCTGCTCCTTGAAAAGCCTGAGCCTCTGAGCAGAGGCACGGCCTGCTGGTGCCCGCAGTGCCAAGGGTGGTGGCCCAGCAGGCAGCACGCTGAGGGCCACACACAGCCCAGCGTCCTCCAGGGACTGTGTGGGGTCACGGTGATGGCCCTATTGCATGGGGCGACCTGCACTTCCCTGCTACCTCACCTTGCTCAGCGCCTGCCAAGTCGGGTTCCGGAACTGCTGTCTGATTGGCTGATTCACCTCACAGCTAAGCAGGGCAGAGCGGTGGCTGTACCCACTCTACGGGCCAGAAAACTGAGGCCAGGGAGGGGTGGGGCAGAGGGGACTCACCCGCAGTCACGCAGGAGGTGAACCGTGCTCACGACGCCTCCGGGAGCTGGCGGGCCCATCCCCACATCCTTGCACCAGCCTTTCCTGGCTTTGGCTTCCCGGCTGAGGGGCTCAGACCAGCCCCAGACCCTCTCGGGGCCTTGGTTTCCCTTCTACCATGGCTGGGGGTGGTGAGGAATGAAGGTCCTTTGAGGATGGGCTTCCCACACCTGTGCCTATGGCCCCGCGGCTCGGCCCCCTGGCCTGGAGGATGCAAGGAGCAGCTGGGTCGGGCACCGCCGTGCCAGGATCATCGGAAAAATACAAAACTTTCCTTGAAGACCGGACCGGGAGGCGCTAAGGCAGGAGGGAGGAGGGAAGACAGTCTGGAGTGTGGAGGCCCGGAATGAACAGGCTGCCTGTTCCGGGGACAGGACGCAGCACGCACCCTGCCAAACCGGGAGAGAGGAGGAAGTCCGGGAGGAGGGGCAAGGATGGGAAAAACTGTCCCTGCAGCCTCCCCGTGGCCCAGCGCCTGCTGCTTCCCATGGCCCCGAGGCGGGCCCTGCCCCCTCCCTGGGCAGCTCCCATCTCAGGTCAGCGAGTGCCCTGCCCTGCCCTGCCGGGTCTCCCGAGACCCCTCCCCGCTCTGCCCTGGCCTCCCGGGGTCTCTCAGGGCCTGCTCTGCTGCAGCAGACCTCTTGGGCAGGTGTGGCAGAGGGACCCCAGCTGTGTCACCTGCCGGCTCAGGGCTTGGGGAGGGCCCCCACCTCGCAGAACCTCTGTGAGATGAGGGAGAACATCTCCCGAGACAGGAGCCCGCCAGCCCTGGCGTCTCTCCCTCTCGCTGCCCCTCCATTTCCCACCTGGACGCTCTCTTTCCCGATCTCAGCTCTAAACCCTGTGTCCGAGCCCTCGGCCGTCCTTGTCTCTCCCTCCCCGCGGTCTGGCCCCGCTGCAGGTGGTCTCAGAGGAGGGTGGTGGCTGGACGCTGGCCATGGCGGGGAAGGCCCACAGGGGGCCTGGCATCCTCCCAGCTGCCTAGGCTCAGACCCCTTCTGCCAGTTGCTCCCCCAGCACCTCTGCTCGCCCCTCATCACCGGGGCCTGCACAGATGTCCCTGGCCCCAGTGCTGCCTCGGGGGGCAGAGCAAGGAAGTAGCACTGCAGCCCCTCCCGAGGGGCCACAGGGAGGGGGTCCTGACCACGTCCCACCTCCCAGATCCCAGAGGTGACACTCTGACGGGAGGCTGTCGGCAGGACGAGGTGGGGGAAGTCCTCGGGCGGGGAGCGGGTGAGGCAAGAGGGCCAGCACTCGGCCTCGCTGGACGCCAGGCCCTGGCACTGTCACCCCATTTTACAGGTGGAAAGTTGAGGCTCAGGTGGGCAACGGCCAAATGCTTCCCAATCAGAAAGGGAGGGAGAAGGGCCCATAACTTTGTCCGTTCCACGGCTCATCCCAAATGTGTGCTCTGTTCCAGGCTCCGGCGACTCAGCTGTGAGGTGCAGACACGGGCCCTGGTGCCAGAGTCGCAGCCAGCGAGAGGGAAGCAGCACCGCGGGAGGCCTGGCTTTGGGCCGAAGGAAGGAGCGGCCCGCTGCGGGGAGACGGGGCAGGCGAGCGGCCAGAAGCAGCTGCGGCCAAGGTGGGCGGATCCTGCAGCACCGGGACGCCCGGGCCCGGACAGCCCACTGGCAGGCTCCCGGCGGGCACGAGGAGATGGGATGAGGCCACGTGACCCAGGACGGTCCCCCTGGGCGCAGGACGGGCAGTGGGTACATGTGGAGGGTGGGTACTTGGACCCCAGGCCAAAGCCAGGCAGTAAGGGTCAGGTCAGACTGAGCGGCGGACAGCTGCCCTGGCCCAGCTTCTCCTCCGCGAGCAGCTGCCACAGTGGCTCCTGGGCAGATGGCCGGGAGAGCGTGAGTGCGGGAGGTGCGGGAGCTCCGCCCCAAGGTGCTCCTGGGAGTGCTGGGTGCTCACGTGAGGCTGGGAGTCGCAGGACTGTGGCCGGGGCCCTGCTCGAGGGCAGGCCAGCTCCGGCCCCCAGGAGGGCCGGGGAGGGAGCTCGGGTTGCACGGCCTGTTCTGCCCTGCTGAGGGGTACCTCCAGCACCTCTGGGGGCCCAGGGACTGGCACTGAGGGGTCTGCAGAGGCCGGTGTGTGAGCCCCGTTGGGGAGGACTTGGTCACAGAGCAGCCCTGGGAAGGCAGCAGCTGCTGGGAGGGCGGGGGCTGTCCGGGGAAAGTGGAGACACCCAGGGCTCTGTTTGGGGTGGGTTTCCTGAGGCTGTGGACTTGCGGGGAGACCCCCGTCGAAATAAGCATCTTAGCATCAGGAGAGCATCACCTGGGGTCTGGGAGCCCGGGGCCCTAGGGGCAGAGGGGCAGAGCCCCAGAGGGGCTGGAATGGGGGCTGCGTGGCTCCCAGCGCTGGGCAGACCCTCCTGTGGTCACCCTGCCTGCCCACCCTCCCCCGCAAAGCCCCCATCTTCTAAGGCAGGCAAGACCTCGGGAGCTGGCAGGCCTGAGGAGCAGCAGACCAGCCTGGTTCTGAGAGCTGGGGAAGCCCAGGCCCCCCGCCTCCAGGCCCAGGCCTGGCTCCCCGCTCCACCTGCCGCGCTCGGCCTGTGGCCCTGAGTCGTCCTGCTCTGGGTGAGGCTGCCTGTGGGAGGGGGGCACGGAGGAGCAGGGCGGGGGCAGCCCCCACCTCAGGCATGGGAGCTGGCCAGGCCCCTTCGCGCAGGCGGAAGAGTGGAGCCTGAGGCTGCAGTGTGGGGTGTGCTGAGGGCTTCTGGCGCGAAAGCTGGTAGCAACTAGGTGTTCCCGGATCAGTGGCTGTGGCCTGTCACCTGTCACGGCGGCCTCGCGAATGCAGCCTCTGGGCCGTGCCCCCCCGCCACACGTCAGGCTGGGCTGGCCACGCAGACGGCCCACCAAGGGTCTGGGTCAAGACCAGCCCTGCCTGCTGGGCTGCCCTAAGATCCCCTCTCCTGCCTGCCCTCCCCACAAAGGGGATGCCTCCCCTTCCAGTCTCCTGCCTGGGCCGCCCAGCTGGTCAGGGCTCCTGGGTCTGGGTGCCGGCCCCCAGGGGCCACATGGCCTTTGTCAACCGTGGGAGGAAGTGGAGGGGTGGCTCCTGGTCACTCGAGTGATGGTTCTGGCACTCCCACCGCATGCGTGGGCACGCGCGCGCGCACACACAACGCAGGTGTGCGAGCGAGGTCCCTGCCCAGCTGGCTCATCGCGTGCCTTTCCAGAGCAGGGCCCTCGGACGCAGGCCTGGGCTCACCCAGACACGGTCGCGGGCTCGCGGCTCCACTCAGGCCCCGCGGTGACCAGCCCGCTCGCCGCGGCACAGGCATCTTACACACAGGCTCGCACGCTCGGGGGTTCCTGTTCTCGCAGCTTCTGGCCCGACTCCCCCTCCCTGCTCTGTGCTGCCCCTCCACCCTCCCCTCTCTGCTCACCCACTTGCCTTTAATTAGAAATGCCAGGAGAGCGATTTTGGGGGAGTTTCTGCCAGAGACATTCCCCCACCAAGGGTGGAAGCTCAGAGAGGGAAAGGAGTGGCAGATTGCCTCTGGGGGGCGGCAGGGGGTGGCAGGGAAGGGGCCTCCAAGGGGGGCAGGGAATGGGGACTCCAGAGCGGGGGTACCCGCGTGCCCTTGAGTGTGCTAACGAGACCCGGGGGCCGGCGGGCCTGGTGTGAGGGGCTGGGCGTGGACGGGGATGACTGGACGGGGGGAGGATGGGTGGGTGGGGAGCTATGAGTATCTCTGTGGGGGAGGGGGGATGAGTGTGCAGTGTGCGTGTGAGAGCGGAAGACCGGCAGCAGGGCTAGGGGGTCTTGACTGGCCTTGGTTGTGTGTGGCACATGGTATGTGCTACCTGTGCGCATGGAGCAGCAGAGGACCTGGACCCACACCCATCATGACGGGGACACAGGGGGAGGGCCCCTCCCCACCACTGTTGCCAGGGAGGCAGAAGGGGGCCTCCCTCCTGCAGGAGTCTCAGCTTCCGGAGCCCCATTCCTTTTATGGTGTTTTGCTTCTCTACCTCTCCTGACTGCATCAGGCCACCAGCACCCTCTCCCCCCTGCAGAGGTCTTGGAGCTTCTGACCGGTTGGGCTGTGGCCTGGGGTTCAGGGCCTACACCCTGCGGTGGGTGGAGGGCCCCTCCGTCTCCTCCACACGCCACCCCCCCACGCCCCGAGAGCAGCTGCCAGGTTTCCTGGGAGGCGCTAAGTGGAGAAGTCTTGGGCCTCAGCAAAGACCTGGGAGAGGGGGCATGGGGCAGTCCTGTCCAGCTACTGCCACCTAGGCGACACACACCCACACCAAGTCCAGGGGCCCTGGGAGAGCCAAGGCCTGGGTGCCTGTTCCTTACCCGGGCGCAGGACCAGCCCAGGGCCTGGACGCAAGGGCGCCCGGGGCGGGGATAGACGGAAGCTCAAGGCCACGTCCGGGACCTCACACCTGACACCCGGGAGCGTGTGTGCACTGGAAAACTCCTGGAGGTCTTCAGCCCAAGCGAAAGAGGGTCTCAATATGGGGTCGTTGCCACGTCTCACCTGTGGCTGAACATCCTGCAGACCCGGACTGTACAGGATCAGGTCTGCGGCCGGCGGCCCCGGAGAGCAGTCCAGCGCCCCCGCCCCCCGCCCCAGTCAGGACACAGCAGACACAGGAGGAAGCTGACCCTGAGGCCCGGGGGAGGGGCTTCCTCCTTACCTCCGGCCGGGGGCGGCAGGGCGCTCACCGGGCCTCCCTGCCCGGCGCTGGCTGGCGGGGGGGCGTCGCCGGCCTGTTCCCAGTACGGTCTCTGGGTCCCACGGGCTGAATGGGTCAGGGAAGGAGCGGTGCGAGCGAGCGCATTAGTCACGCCGCCGCCGCCGCCGCCGCCGCCGCCGCCGCCGCCGCCGCCGCCGGCGTGTGCAGGGGGTGGGTCCTCCCTCCGCCGGGAGCGCGCGTGGGCGCGGGGAGGCGGGCCGGCAGGCTGGGGGCGCGGGCGGGGAGCCTGCGCCCGGGCCAATGGGAGCCGTGGCTCGGTGACGGGGCCGCCCACGGCCCGCGCTGGCGGCATAAAGAGCCGGCGGCCGAGGCTGAGCGCAGAGCTCGGGTGCCGGGTCCTCCGGGTCCGCGGCCGCCGAGAGCAGCCGGGGCCAGCCGCCGCTCCGCGGGACCCTCCGCCACGCGCAGCTCCGCGTAGCCGGCGCCCAGCAGCTCTCCGTCGGCCCCAAGAGGACTTTGCAGCCTCTGCCCCACCCCGCCTGTCCGAGCACCGCCGCCACCTGCGAACAGATGGAGCTGGACCAAAGGACGACCGGCGGCCTCCACGCCTACCCCGCGCCCCGCGGCGGGCCGGTGGCCAAGCCCAACGTGATCCTGCAGATCGGGAAGTGCCGGGCGGAGATGCTGGAGCACGTGCGGAGGACCCACCGGCACCTGCTGACCGAGGTGTCCAAGCAGGTGGAGCGGGAGCTGAAGGGGCTGCACCGCTCGGTGGGCAAGTTGGAGAGCAACCTGGACGGGTACGTGCCCACGGGCGACTCACAGCGCTGGAGGAAGTCCATCAAGGCCTGCCTGTGTCGCTGCCAGGAGACCATCGCCAACCTGGAGCGCTGGGTCAAGCGGGAGATGCACGTGTGGCGGGAGGTCTTCTACCGGCTGGAGAGGTGGGCCGACCGCCTGGAGTCCATGGGCGGCAAGTACCCGGTTGGCAGCAACCCCTCCCGCCACACCACCTCCGTAGGTGTCGGGGGTCCCGAGAGCTACGGCCACGAGGCTGACACCTACGACTACACGGTCAGCCCCTATGCCATCACCCCACCACCGGCCACAGGTGAGCTGCCCGGACAAGAGGCGGTGGAGGCCCAGCAGTACCCACCCTGGGGGCTGGGAGAGGACGGGCAGCCAAGCCCTGGCGTGGACACGCAGATCTTCGAGGACCCGCGGGAGTTCCTCAGCCACCTGGAGGAGTACCTGCGCCAGGTGGGCGGCTCCGAGGAGTACTGGCTGTCGCAGATCCAGAACCACATGAATGGGCCGGCCAAGAAGTGGTGGGAGTACAAGCAGGGCTCAGTGAAGAACTGGG